CCAATCCCACAGCGACAAGGCAAGGATCATCGAAACGTAAGTAAGAAACGCATGAGTCCAACAGAAAAAGCAGAACATATTACTGATAGAGCAATGACAATATGTGGATGATGATGCACCCTTCATAATCACAAATCTGAGGAAATATATTGCAAAACCAGACTATAGTCATCAGTAATGATTTTTTCCAAGCAAAGATATAAATCCAATTGATCCTTTAAGGTTGTCTTCCAACCTTTGACATCATCCAATGCATTTGGATCCCAATGATGGTCAAGCGGGGGTGTTTGTCCCTGTATTCAACAATCAAACTAACGGAATATGATAGAGGAGAGAAGAACACAACTTTGATTCAATAACAAAAAAAGATCTCGAAATACAGAACAAGGTATCGAGAAACAAATGTGCGGCTCTCTCTCTCACTCACTAGACTAAATGTATGTGTGAATATCTGAAAAGTCTTAGGGCTCATTCCCTCTAAGGCTATATTTATATGCCTAGGGAATGAGTTGATGTGACCTAAGCATGATTGGGCTCCTTTATTTAGGTGGCCCAATAGCCCACTTTACAATATTTCCTAATAAGGCTAGTCTATTTATAGATTACAAAGGTGCCAATGGGGCGAAATATCTAGACATAACAACTACACAAATACAAAGATATTTAACTAGATTGGACACCATAAAATATTCCCAACAATCTTCCTCTTGGTGTTCAATCGTGTTCAATCAGCATTGCACCGCATATATCTTTGTCTTTGTGTTGATTCAGCAATGTAGAGGAGAGCGTAGATAAGATTTGTCCAGTTGCTCCACTTTGTCTTGAACTTCAGTGCAACTCAGCTTCCTTTGTCTTTGAACTCGGCTTCTTGAGAAGGCTTTTCTGAAGAAATCCTTGCAGTCTCCCCTTAAATTTGATGTTTTCATGGCAATTTGTTCTTTGATGTCGGGTAGTTGAACTCAGATCTTCAGTATTTTGCATGTGATCCTTTCCTTCTAGAAGTTTCTCTTGATCAGCTTGAATGAATTTCGATGGCGCCTTTAAAATGAATGTTATGATGATTTCCAGGCGCGCGCGGGATTCATCTTCAGAATTTGATTACCCAACATCTGTCTCCTCCAGAATGTAGTATTTTTGACTATTTGAAATGAATGCTTTTGAGGAGAACCTGTCGGTGGCACAATGAAAAATTATGGTTGATTTGAGAGAGTAGATAGTTGTCAATTCGTGTTGGAGAGAAGTATCCAAGAATGATTTGTTGAGAGCATTGTTCTAAAACTCGTTAGGCGCTAGTCGGGCGGTTGAGGGGCGCCTAGCGCCTAGGCAGTCGACTAGACTGAATTTTTGACCGACTAAGTCGATTTTTTGACCGACTAGACCGACTAGGCCTCTATAGTTAAGGCCGCCTAGGCCGATTTTTAGAACAATGGTTGAGAGTAAACAACATGTAGACCACTCTCCCCCTCATGACGAGCCGGTGAATCGGGACGTCATGCCTTTATTCTTTTATTCTGGGTAACAAAATAGAAACGCAAATAGAAAGGTAAAAACCGGAGACACAATGGTGTTCCGTTATTAAAACATCAATGTAAACACCGATGTGTGGCCTGTATAAAATGATAGAAGCATTAAAGCTCTAATAGGACTTCCAACCAATCATTGTGAAGCATCTGAAGTAAATGTCACTCTGGTTGTTAAGGCATGATCATAAAGATCAGCAAAGAAACTAGTAGCTAGCCCCCGAGGTCGTGTAGAAACCCGTTATCATCACTATAGAGATAAACTCTAAAGCGATGGCCTGAACACGTTGGTGATTTCTATGTTGCAACAACAGAACTTTCTTCCAATCATTGGTCTACAACTATAATAGTTGAGCCCTATGGAAGTTCTCGTGGGTCATGAAGACCTGCAACTGACCCTAAAAGGTGTCTGTGTCCTAGAAAATTAAAAACATTTGGGAGTGATATAACTGGACATAACGTGATCAATGAAAGTCCAGTGGCTTGGAGCTCAGGGCCACTGTAGTTAGTATCACTCACCTCGGAAGGAGACAGTAACGAGAGATGAGGCTACCCGTGAAATATGATTAAACACCTGTCTGTTGGGAGACAAGTGAGTGGTCTAGGGTAGGGTTGTGCATGTGCCGTTTGGACAAAATGTAGCAACTTCTACCCGGGATCTGAATAAATTCATCCCTGAACCTATGGGGAATTGTCCAGAGTATTTGAGTGACTGAGAGTAATTTTCTCGATTGATAGCGCAATAGAGGTAGCAGACTTGATAGTTATTATTGTTCTCTTGCTCACTTGAGCTTTCTGCTTCCTCACTCTCATAGTGTTCACTCACTCACTCACTCTCGGCTTTGTCCCTTGGGTAGGCTTAGTTGGGTTTACTAAGCCATTGAGACTTATCTCTCATTTCTCTTTGTTATTTTCTCTCTGTACTCCACCTCAACTGCAGCACTCAGTAGGATGCCTTTGATGATGTTTGGCACTTGGGAGGAGAACTTTGAAAACTCCCCCTCAAAATCTGCATCCTTGAGAGAATCCTTGCATTTATCATTGTCTCGCAGTAGGAGGAGAAAAATGAGACTCCCCCTCAAAAGTTGCATTTGTTGTTTGTTTGTCACCCAAGGAGTAAATAGACGACCCCCCCTTGGAATGTGCTTTCTTCTTTGTTTGACGCCAGGATGAGTGAAAAAGAAACACTCCCCCTCAGAATAAGCACTTGTTATTTGTTATTTGTTCTTGGCATGTGTTGGTTCTGAGGTGTGCATTTGTGATTTTCAGCTCAGTTGAAAGTATACACGTAAATACTTTCCTTCATAATGTGCACTAGTTGATTGCTCACAGCTCGTCTTCATACCCGCCATGTGTGTGGAGCAATCATATCAAGTACCACACATGACGGACCTACAAAAGGTTAAGAAACCTTTGGTACCCATTTCACGGTGGGTCCATCCCTTTTAGCACAAAACAAATTTTGAAAATTTTGTTTTATTTTAGTTCCTAAACCAGTCTCTTTTGAAGCTTTTGGAGAGCTATATGACTGGGATTCTAATTTAGGAACTCATTCTTGAGCTATTGCAGGTGTGAGAATTTTCAGCGCACGTGAATGATGGAACAATTTTTTGAGAAGTAAAGATTTTCTCCTTTGATAACCATTTCAGATGTTTGGCTGAATAATCCTTGAGGGGATAAGTCAGGCAAACACCATCACAAACAGTATAGGTTGAAGCTTTAAAACTCTTCCGTTTAGACTTGCCATCATTCACTTCACAATGAGGTTTGGAAGCCTTAGCCATTTGTTTAAGTTTTGCAGGCTTTCCAACCTCAGCACTAGAATGATAAAACACAGATCCAGAGTCATTAGAAGAAGACTGAGAATAATGGTGTGTGGCTGAGCTAGATGACTGAGAGCTTGAACTTGAACTTTCTTTAAAAACACTTTTTGAAATAGGAGAGGAGGTAGAGGTTGTGTCTGTTCTGGGGGTAATTTTGAGAAGAGAAATCTCATTTAAAAGTTGTTGTTTTTCTGTTTTGAAGACCTCTCTTTCAGTATCCAAAGATCTGTGCAAGTCCGCAATTTTACGGATGACCTTTGGAATGTAGAAATTGTCAGTTTCGGATTTTTCAGAAACATATTTTTCTTCCCCTGAGAACACAGACTTAGACTCACTTGCTAGAGAAAAAAGTGATACATAGTCATCAGACAAAGGAATTTCTCTGGTCCAGGGCTGTCAACGAACCGAGCTTTTATCGAACTATTCGAGCTCGAGCTCGATTTCGAACCTAATGAGCCGAGCTTAACGAACTTCGAACTCGAACTCAAGCTGAGTTTTAAGTTCGAAAAATTAATCGAGCCGAGCTCGAACATAGAAGTTTTCGGCTCGGTTCAAACTCGAGCCTATCGAACACCCTAAAATTTTAAATATAATTTTTATATATGTCAAAATTTAAATATAATTAGTATGGTTTTATGAATTTAAATATGATTATTAATGAACCGAATACTTGTCGAACCATTCGAGCACGAGCCTATTAACGAGCATCATCTAAAATTTTAAATTTGGGCATATTTATCGAGCTTATCGAGCGCTCGGTTCGAACATCGAATGCCTATCGAGCCGAACACGAGCCTCATTTGTAAAGCTCGCCGAGCTTCGAGCTCGAACCCGAACACCCCTTATTCCTTAACGAGCCAAATTCGAGCTTTGGGTGTTCGGGCTCGGTTCGGCTCGTTAACAGTCCTACTCTGGTCTTATAACTATCCTTAATCATTACTCATCTAAAGACTAATAATTCACTAAAATTAGATATTTCAGCTCACTTTGGGCTGAACAAGCAAAGCCACACTTTACCTTAGCGTTATAATGTATTCAACCCTACTTCGTATACAATCCCCGTCCCATTAGAAGGTTCCCACTTTTTTTTTTTTCTGAACGTCCAATCTAAAGGTTCTCATTTCTATTTTAGAAAACAATTAACAATCTTAAGTGACAAATTAATCATTACTAGTAAATATTAAAAACACTATATTTATATCACAATTATCAATACCAACTACATTATACTCCCTATTTAATTATTTCTCAAAATATACTCGAAATACTTTATTTAATTATTACTCCCTCCGTCCCATTTATATTGTTCCGTTTTACCTTTTTGGGAAGTCCCATACCATATTTGGCAAAGTTTGTGTGACTCTAAATCATTCTTACTTTATTCATATTTCATCAATTAATATCAGCAACACAAACTCACTTTTCTTAATAATTGTGTCACCATCTTCCGTGATAATATTATAAATGAGACAGATGTAGTATCTAAATAACCGTGACGTTTTGCTGTGAAAATCTTTGGAACCGAAAAGAGATACTACTTGACGCCGTTGACGGCTTGATGAATAATTATACTGACATAATTTTTTGAAACCTATTGGGCCATAACGAAAAGCCCCATATGAAGTCCAAATTGAATCCAGGGCTCCAATTTGGAACGGGTGACAAGCGCTCGATTCCTTTATAATGCCGACAATTCACTGCAATTGTGAACCCTAGGGCAACATTTTCCTCTCGCCACTGTAAGCGGCGGCTCAGATCGAAAATGGTGAAGTTTCTGAAGCCTAACAAGGCCGTTATCATCCTTCAGGGACGACACGCAGGCAAGAAGGCCGTCATCGTCAAGTCCTTCGAAGAAGGCACTCGCGAACGCCCCTACGGCCACTGTCTGGTCGCCGGGATCGCGAAGTACCCAAGCAAGGTGATCCGTAAGGACTCCGCCAAGAAGCAGGCGAAGAAATCGCGCGTGAAGACGTTTGTCAAGCTCGTAAACTACAACCACATTATGCCGACGCGCTACACTCTCGACGTGGATCTGAAGGACGCCATTCCCGTCGACTGCCTTCAATCTCGTGACAAGAGAGTGACAGCAGCGAAAGAGGCGAAATCTCGGCTTGAAGAGCGGTTCAAATCTGGGAAGAATCGATGGTTCTTTTCCAAACTCAGGTTCTGAGAAGGTCAATACATAAATACTCTACTGATGACTAGTTTTTACTCCTTTCGTTGCAATGTTTCAAGCAACAGCTGTATTTTGTTCAATTGAAACTTTCATGCTTAACACATCCGATTGAAATTGCTTTATCACCACTTAATATTTGCATCGCAAATTCTCTTATATCTTGTTTTTATTGTTAATGTATATGATTCCTATTTAAATTGCTGATAGGTTAATGTATTAGCAGAGATCTGAATAATAAGAAGCGTTAAGTTGGAGTTGCTTTCTCAGGCGTTGCGGGCATTGTTAATCTAGTACAATGTACGTGTCAATGGAAGCATAAAGTAATTCATGCAACCCTACTTTCTCTGATTTCGATCTGTAATCAAACCTAAATATGAATTGGTTTGCTTACTTTAGGGTCTGAAACATGATTATAGAAACCTTTAAGCGTCTTTTAACTTTTTTTAATAGTTGCTTCATATGGTGAGTGCCCTCTGTGAAAGTGAGGGATGCTCTAGTTTCCGAAGCATAGATCAAAAGGCAGTATTAAACAGCATAGTGCATTTTCCATTGCACGTTGCTACCTGTCTCCTTCTACAGTTTTAATTTAGTTTATCCAAACTTTCTTCTGTATGTTTTGATTGATATCTAGGTGCAAGCTGTGTATGGTCGAGTTAGCTCACACAAACTTTACTGGATACTTCAAAATATCCAAACGTTCATTTTTATTGATTTAAAATACTCGTAAATATGTTAAGAACTTGCATCTGAAATGGAATAATTTAAATACTTTTTGCTCGGTAAAACCAATTTTTTTCATGTTTTATTGAAAAACCCTGTTTTATTCTTGTTTTGGATATCTTTCTGTAAGTAACGAGGTGGAATTTGAGCACGGAATTACAAAATTTGCAACGCCATTACGCTTTCAATTTGCATCAATTTTGGGGAAGGACACAATGTCTTTCAAGTGAGAAAGAACAATAATCTAGGAGATGGTGCGTAGTACTCCGTATTTAGTTCAACTAATCTGGAGAGTTGCTTTTAATTTTGAAAGCTTTGCTGGCAAGTACGTAATGTGACCTCACCAGTTGTATGATTGGGTGTCCTATACAAAGATCAGACCATATTAATAATGTACGGAGTATAAAAAGTGTAATGCGCTAAAATATTAACAAATTTCGACGAATTTTTCCGAAATGCATTTGAGTTTTCATACGGTTATCGTATGACGGAAGAGAACGCTATCTTGCAATTGGCTTAAGACTTAAGAGGTCCAAATCGTTTTATTAATAGCCGATTCCTGAAGGCCAGTCACAAGTCTCATAACGCTTGATACTATGGTTGAATGGAACAGTCTCTTATTTAAAACGATTATTGTAAACTTGTTAGTTATGTGCATCTCCAACAATAGCACAGATCGATAAATTCGATGCTAACTGAATACACGCTTATAAATTGAAAGGGTCATTAGATTGAAGCAACTTTTAAAAGCAATACATACATTTGAATTGTGTTGAAAGAATGAATTTTCGGCTTGAACCGATTTGAACATTTGGGTCACTACGAAACTGAATTCGAATTGCTACATTTGGAGATGAGTTGAAATATTTTTGTAGTAACGGTAGTATAATCAGTGTGTAAGAACAAATGTCTTAGCTCTAAATTTTAGAACATCTCTAAAGTGCATGTGCCCCTGGACATTTTTAAATATTTGTACCTTTTCACAAAATAATCTCTTTCTTTTTTACAAAGAGCAATACGTTACAATTAGCATTCAAGAGATTGGGTGCAAACGCTCAAAACATTATATTATACATGTAGTAGCTTAATGGTTAGCGAAACTTCAGGAAATTATTTTAAAAAGAGAAGAGGCAAATAAGCCCTCAAACTATTTGCAATTTTGCAATCATGCCCTTGAACTTGAAGAATAGCAGATACACCCCGCAACTCATTGCAAATGATGCAATCAAAACCTTTTTTTACCTGTTGTTGGGGGTGAGAAGATGAAATATTACCGGCACCAACAGGTAAAAAGGACCTGATTGCATCATTTTCAATGAGTTGAGGGCTGTATCTGCAATTCTTCAAGTTCAGGGGCCTGATTGTCGAATTGCAAATAGTTCGAGGGCTTATTTGCCCCTTTTCTCCGTTAAAAATAGCCTTTTCTCTGCAGTGTTCGCCTTGTCCCTCATCAGGTTTCAGTTTTTTCGCTGATCATCGGGGTTGTAACGTTTTAATGGTAATGAGGCCATTTTTCACTCCCCTCCCCGCGCACATTTCTTCAACTTGAGCTTGATGTTCGTGATGACAATTGTGATGTATCTGCCATTGATGACGCTTCATTCTTCGTTAGCAACTTTTGCCGTCATTTAAGAAGTTTCTTGGGCGGAGTCTGGTGACTACGTGTCCTTTGCGGAGAGAAGGGAATAACAACAGATTCTGTTCAGTCGTGGTGGGAGTTCAAGTTGCAACTGTATGGAAGTAATGGAGAGTATACACACGAGAAGAATTAAAAAAAAAGGGATTTAGGTCGTGTCATCTACCTAGACCTTCCTGGGAGTTCAAATGCTCAACTTTCATTCCGATATTGTTCGTGGGTTAGAAGTTCTGTTTTTTTATTTAAATCCGAGTCTTATGTTGGTTATGTTACACAATTTGTTTGAAATATTGGAGCATTGTGTTTCAAGGCAGTGGTTGATTTTGATAAATAACTGATATTGTTAGGGTTGTAATTGTGTTGATATAGTTCTGCACGTTGTCATTATTTTAATATTACCTTAGTCATAAAAAGAAGCAAATACACCTAATTTTTGGAGTGTATTGAAAGTAATATTTGAACTAATGTGACTTTTGATTTGAATATCTAAACTGAAAAACCAATCCCTAGACTCGGTTATCAAAATCAATTGTACATCACGTTAGCGCTTTAGCGTTAGGAAAAATTTTGAATTTGATCTTGATCCCAAACGAAATTTTAGCCCTATTTTATGCAAGGCGCTTCTTGCACGTATGCTGCGATAAAAAAGAGTGTTGTGGTAGACATGTCAAAGTCAACAATATCACTATCACATAGGAGGGTTCTATTGCATCTTGGATGTAGCAACACATTTAACCTGCTTAGGCATGGACTGAACCGGGCCCGGTTCCGGGTCAGGCCTAGGCCCGGCCGGGCCAAAAAATTTTTTAGAAAGGCCCGGGACCGGCCCGGAAGTTGACCGGTGCCGGTCTGTGCCCGGGCCAGGCCGGGTCCGGTTCTAATTTTTTGTTTTGGGTTTTCTTGATTATTTTATCCCCTACCCCCATTCCCCCCATCCCACAAATCTATCTGAAACACCCATTCCAGCCAATTTAAACCCAGCCCAAAGATCCAAACCCAAAAAAAAATTGAAAAGGCCCGAACCGGGCCCGAAACCGGCTGGGCCGGTTCTCAAATCCCTCAGCCCGTACCCGCCCCCGGTTTCCCCTTCAAATCGGGCCCAGACCTGGTACCGGTACCCGGTTCCCGGGTCGGGCCGGTTCCCGGGCCTGGTGGCTCGAACCGGGTTCTTGCCTAAACCTGCTTATTTATATTCCAAGAAAAACATTTTCCATGAAACTTATATTTCCGAAAAAATGTTTTGCATATCAAGCTCTTTTCTTGATCTCAAGCAATGCCTTAAACTGATGTGGCATAATGCGCATCAAATGTATTATGTGCATCAAATATATGTAGGCCAAATTATCAGATTGGTAAAAAAGGGGTGATTTATCAGATTGGTAAAACAACCACTTGAGACAAATTGATAAAACAAAGAGTGATACACCTGGTCTCCGACTTTATAATTTACGACATTCTTTTAAAAATATACTATTTATTAAAATTCTACTACTCCGTATTTATTAAGAGCCCGTTTGGTAGCACGAAAATCGGTTGTTTTGGCTGATTCTGCTGAAATTTATGTTCTGGCTGAAGTAGTTGCATTGGCTGATTCTGCTGATTGAAGAAAAAATTATTTTTAAAATATATATTATTAATAAAATAAAGAAAAAATTATATGTAAAAATAGCTAAAATGGTCATCTATAGTAACTTCAGCCAATACAACCATAAAAGTAACTTCAACCTTACTTTTTCTGCTTAATACACAATTCAGCACGCGAAAACAAATGTTACAAGTTTGGTGAAAAAGTTGACTGATAAGCCGAAAAATAGTGTTGCCAAACGGCCTCTAAAACTCTACTCCATTTTGTTAACTTTTTCATTTGCGGTTCGAAGTAAAAATGTTAGTAACTATTTGCGATTAAATGCTAAGACATGAAATGATCATTAAGGATATGAATTTGAGAATAACTTAAGTTTATTTTTTTATTTTAAATAAGTCTTGGAAAGAGTTTTAAAACTTATATTTGTGTTTATTTTAAATAACTACGGTAGAATTTTTTAAAATACTACTTCATCCGCCAAGTACCTTGTGGTCTTATGGCATCACTGTGACACTCCTAAGGAAGATGTCACAGGTTCGAATCCCATCCCAGTTCAAGGATGTTGACATTGACATTGAGCAATACTATATAGGTTAGAAAGAATTATCCCAAAAAAAAAATACTACTCTGTCCCCCAATTAAGCTCCCACTTTCTTGTTTGGGCAGTCCCTAAATTAAGTTCACACTTCAATACTTTTCTTATTTGCCAAATAATCTACATCAAAACAGTGCTAAACAGTGTTGTTTAAACAGTGCAAAATAGTGACTCCACAGTAAAGTCAAATTTATGTTCTTAATATGTGTGAAGTCAAACTAGGAACTGAATTGGGGGAGGGAGGGAGTAATAAATAGTCATATGGAGTATAGTTTTGGAGATGTATTTTTAAATGGAGTAGATTTCTAAAAAAAAACTAATAAATCATATTTGAAATATTAATACTAAAAATAAACGAATTTATAAGTGCATGATCGCGTTAATGTACACATGTTAAAAATGATAGTGTTAGTAGTTATTTAAAATAATCATAAATAAAATTCTTAAAACTATTTTCAAGACTTATTAAAAATAAAAGAAATAAAATTCAGTTAAATCTATAAACTTTTAAACTCATATCATTAATGATCATTTAATGTCTTAAAATCTAATCACAAACAGCCAAGTTACAAACAATTTATTCTAAAGCGCTAATGAAAGTGA